CTGAATAGCCTCAAGAATGTGGGATGTAAAACTACAGTTCAAGAGAAGTTCATGGCAACAAGCATTCTTTGAGCAACAGTCGAACACTTTACACACACTCAATCTACCACAAAGCATCAGCTTTGCTTTGACAGCTATTAGATTTCTCAACAAACCATCTCCCTCCATCTGATCTGAGTTTGCCAAGATTCCTTCCCCAAGCTGCCATTGTGTTATCTCAGCTGAAGTACCAAATGTGAGCTGGAAGATGTTAATGGCAGTGGAAAGTTATTCTTCACTTGCTTGTGTCAGATGGCTTTGTGGCAAGTGGCTTATCTGTTAGCAGACACCAAACAATAACCATCTTAGTACTGTTGTGGTAAGTCTACTGTAACTGAAACTCTGATTTTCACATTCTTTGGAGCAGCAGCAAGGCCATGGTAGCAAGGACCACTTTTCAACTACACTCATGCCACAAGTGGTTTCCAAACACTCCAAGTTATCCATATGCCTGTTCAGCAACACTTACCACCACTTACTTGCCAATTCAGCTTGTCACATTGAATTGAAAGACAACACATTGAGAAAGGTAATTTGGAAGAAGTCTTGATATCTTTGCTTTACTCATAGAATCACAGACTGGTTTGTATTGGAAGGGACCTTAAAGCTCATCCATTTCCAACCCCCTGCCTTATCTTGTCCCTACAGGCCCTTATCCAAAGCCCCTCTCTAGCTTTCTTATCAAACCAACACCACTCACCACTGTATTTCCTGACAATAGAAGGTGTTTAGAGAGGACAAGAAGCAGCATGATTTAGAGAGCTGTCTCATGTGATGAAATGAGCATTCTCCTCTTTAATAGTCAACTGAAAGGTTGTAGAAATGTTATATGAAGTCTCAATCATAAGAAGTAGGAACTGAGCACAGCTTTGACTCAACAGAGGTGCCCAAAGACTCTTAAACAGACAGCATGAGCGTGCTCCACTGTACTCACTTTACAACTAACAAGGAGACTGATAGGATTTCAAGAGATTCAGTAGCTTCCAGCCAGCAACATGCAGGCACTGACTTTGTGAGATGTTTAGCTTGTATCAGCACCGAAAGAAATGAAGACTGCATGAGAAATACTACAACAATAGCAACAACAACAGAGCCTGCCCCCCTCCAGACACAACAACCCTTATTTTGCTCTAAACTGGGAGCTGTTCTGTATTTAAAATCTGGGAGCAGACTAGCAGAAGCATTAAATGCAGGGCTTGACAGACAGTGTCAAAACATATCAGAGATAGTTTAATCTCAGCATTCTTTGTGTGTTTATGAGGCCGCGATGAAGTGCGAGGCTTCAGCTCTGCAAGAACAGTGCCAAGGAATGTAGGTGGTTTATGCAGCAAACATGTTTGTTTGTCACTGGAGAAAGGAACATGCTGTGGTCTCAAGTAGCTTCAATACGGGAGTTATATTTCCATAGAGTAATACAGTAGAACCATTCAGGTTGGAAAAGACCTTTCAGCTCATCCAGTCCAACCATTCCCAGCAGTGCCAAGGCCACCACTAACCCCTGGCACT